TCCCGGGCCCCCGGGGAGTTCGGTGGCTTGGCTCAAGAGTCCCGCTGTGAGCAACTGAAAACTGTTAGAACTATTTGGATATTTTGCTTTCCCTTTTGATAGCTGAGTAAATCAATCTGATGCTCCTAACAACAGGTTAGTGGTGCTAACGCGAGCCGTTTGCCCGCCAAGCTTTCTGCTGCGCAGCCTTTCCAGCTGTCTTTGATGCTTGCTGTATCCTCGGGTGCTGCAGTTTTCACACCAGAGCAGCATTGCTTCTGGGGGTGTTTAGCCTGGAGAAGAGGAGGCTGAGGGGAGCCCTTATCGCCCTCTACAACTCCCTGAGAGGAGGCTGTAGCGAGGTGGGGGTCGGCCTCTTCTCCCTGGTAACGGGTGATAGGACGAGGGGAAATGGTCTGAAGTTGTGCCAGGGCAGGTTCAGGTTGGACGTTAGGAAAAATTTCTTCACAGAAAGGGTTGTCAAGCATTGGAACGGGCTGCCCAGGGAAGTGGTTGAGTCCCCATCCCTGGAGGTATTTAAAAGACGGGTAGACGAGGTGCTTAGGGCCATGGTTTAGTGGTGGATGGCAGGGTTGGGTTAACAGTTGGACTTGATGATCTTGGAGGTCTTTTCCAACCTAAATGATTCTATGATGTGCTGCCTCCATGTTCTGCAGCACTGCAGCTCACCTTACTGCAATCTGGTGCCAACTGCTTTGCCGTTTCATTACATGAAATAGATTCAGTAGTATTAAAATGCTAAAAGAGCAGCTGCCTCGAGATGGCAGCTTCAATATCATTAATATTTCCTTACAAGGGTAAGCAGCATTATTAGAAATAACACCGTTCATTTCCCCCTTCTGGCTGTTTGGCAGGATGTGTTCCCACTATCAAAGGGGATGGACAGTCCTATTACGACACTTCTTATCAAGCACAGTTTAAGGGTGAATGGAGTCCACCTGCAAAGCCACGTGAAAAGGTAACAGTGTGATTTTGGGGAGGACTGAGACACAGTTAAATGGCAGCACGTTCCCACACTGAATTCTGGCTTGAAAGGGGTGGGATCTGTGCAAGTGAAAACCAGATGGATGGAAAGACTGAGAGGAGAAACAAAGGGCTTGTGCTTTAAGTGGCTGTTCTGTAGCTCTCTTGGCTTCCCTTCAGCACATGTCTCCTATTAAATTTGGGGATCCCAGAAGCACTGGATCTGTGAGCGAGCAGAAACATGCCTACAGTGCCCCAGACAAGAGGACACACAGGTACCAGCAGGAAAACCCGATGGGCATCCCCAGCAACGTGCTCTTTCCCATGAACATTGCTAGTTAAGCAGCTCCTCTCTGGTATCTTGCAGAGTCTATGACAAGGAACGTGCTGCCTCCCAGATCCACCGCACGAACCTGCAGCTGGGGGATGGTTGCACCAGATTCTCCACCTCGACGTCAGAGCTCTTCCCAGTACATAATCTAGGTAGGGCAAGTCTGTGACAAGGGGCAACGCGTACAGGCCACTGCTGGGGTTTATAACCAGCTGAACAGTGGGTTTTATCACTTGCTTTTAATGATAATAATCATTTGGTTTTAATAAAGATTCATACAATAGGTATATCATTTTCTAATTTTAATTTTTTATAGTTTTTATATACTCAGCATCAGTGTCATCACTGTGAGGCTCAGTTTCATCCCCGCCCCGCTCCCCCGGCAGGCTAAATAGCCGTATTCATTCCCGTGAATACTGCACGAGGAGAAGCTGCTGTAGCTATAACTTGTTCAGAGCCTGGCGTGCTCCGATATCCTTCGCTCTCGCTTTCGCCAGAGCCTGTAACTACTGCCCGTCTGAACAAATATCCCTCATCCATCCCCAGGGGTGATGAAGACCCTGAAAGAAATCAAGCGTTGCCAAGAACTACTACTACGCAGCTCTCCTACCCAGAGGTCTGTTCCCAGCTTTGCTGCGTGGGTGTTTCTCTGGTGGGAACCTTCTCTTCTTTTATGTACGCTACTCTGGCACCTAAAGCCGATGCTGTCGTCCCTCCTCCCCGTGCCCACTCTGGGCTGTGCAGGGTGTAACGTGCACTGTAGGGCACACTCCCAGCTACAGCCTCTTTCTATTCAAGCAGCTCCCATCTTCTCCAGACCCGCAGGTGGAACCTCGCACCGAAGCCTGACTTCCTACTGCAGAAGCATCGAAGCAATATCTGCGTGGGAGATGAGCGTTCAGGCTCCCGTTTCTTCAGCACAACCCAGCACTGTGGTGGTTTGACCCTGGCTGGGTGCCAGGGGCCCACCAAAGCTGCTCTATCGCTCCCCTCTAACCGGACAGAGGAGAGAAAAGTAAATCAAAGGGCTTGTGGGTCGAGATAAAGGCAGTTTAATAAAGAAAGAAAAAAAAAAAACCAAAAGCAAAAGCAAAGGCCCCGTGCAGTAGCAAAAGGAAAGAAAATTTTATTCTCTACTTCCCATTAGCAGGCGATGTCCAGCCACCTCCCGGGAAGCAGGGCTTCAGTATCCATAGTTGTTCCTTCCCGAAGACAAAACGTTGCAAAAGAGGGATGTCCCCCTCCTCTTCCTCTCTCCCTTAGTTTTTATATCTGACCTGACGACACATGGTATGGACCATCCCTTTGGTTGGGTTGGATCAGGGGTCCTGGCTCCACCGCCTCGGCGGCTCCCCGCTCCGAGCCCCCAGCGCGGCTCCGGGACGGCCCCCCACGG